TAAATGGGGTCAAAATCCCAATGGTGAATGAGGCAAAATTTTTGGGTGTTTTGTTTGACCATAAACTAACGTTTTTGCCGCACTTGCGCAATTTGAAGAGTAGATGTCTAAAATCTTTGAATATTTTAAAGGTACTGTGCTGCTCATCCTGTGGAGCAGACAAATGTTCTATGCTTAGGATTTATAGGGCCTTTGTGCACTCAAAGCTGGACTACGGTTGCATTGTTTATGGGTTTGCGCAAGAATCTACTGTTCGAATGCTGGATCCAATCCACCATCAAGCACTACGTTTGTGCACTGGTGCTTTTCGAACTTTTCCTGTACAAAGTTTGTATGTGGATGCTTATGAGCCTCCACTATCTCTTAGGAGAGAACAGTTGTCTCTTTTTTATTATATAAAACAAAAATCCTTTAGTAAACCTTCAGTTGATTGTACAGTATCAGATACTCAGCTGAAAAGATTATTTGAAGCTCGCCCAAGTAGTGTCCCTACATTCGCCATAAGAATGGAGAATGTGAGCAACACGATTGACCTGGATACAGGCAACATTTCACAGCTAGAGGTCTGTAGTGTATCACTTTGGTCAACTATCTCTTAGGAGAGAACAGTTGTCTCTTTTTTATTATATAAAACAAAAATCCTTTAGTAAACCTTCAGTTGATTGTACAGTATCAGATACTCAGCTGAAAAGATTATTTGAAGCTCGCCCAAGTAGTGTCCCTACATTCGCCATAAGAATGGAGAATGTGAGCAACACGATTGACCTGGATACAGGCAACATTTCACAGCTAGAGGTCTGTAGTGTATCACTTTGGTCAACTATCTCTTAGGAGAGAACAGTTGTCTCTTTTTTATTATATAAAACAAAAATCCTTTAGTAAACCTTCAGTTGATTGTACAGTATCAGATACTCAGCTGAAAAGATTATTTGAAGCTCGCTCCTTTGATAAATGTTGACATTAGCTTAAAGCAATTTCCTAAGGAATCCACACCTGACCACGTCTATAGACAGCACTTTGCAGAAATTCAACATAGTTATAGGAATTTAATTCCTATTTATACAGATGGATCTAAATCTGATGATTACTGATGATAAAAATGATAATTCTGTGTTAAAATGAAAAGAAAACGAACGAAGCCTTCTTTTAATAAAACGAATGAAGATTCATTAAATACTAATAACAATAATAAGCAATCGTTACAAAGTAAAAAAAAAGAATGAAACAGAAAATTTTAAAAAGTCTAATATTAATGTTCAAGTTAAGCCAAGTTTTATAAAAACGTTCTTTTTATATATTTTTGATCGGAAATGTTGGTTATTAGGACTGATTATAATACCATTATTAAATCATGCTGCTTTGAAATATGAAAATAGAGAATTCAAATTATCAGGTGAATTTCTTGATTTCAACTGGCAACAGACAATGTACATTAGCTGTTTGGGAAAAGGACTTCCAACAGTTATTATGGATTCATCTACTGGTATGACATCTGATATTTGGATACCTGCACAGAAAGAATTATCAAAGCTAACACAGGTTTGCATTTATGATCGTCACGGTCTTGGATTTAGCAGACGTTTACAGAATAATGTATCAGATTCGTATGTAATAAAAAGGTTTGGTCAATTAAGTACTGTTGAACGAATGGTAGATGATTTACATCATCTTGTTACTGTAAGCAAACCTTTATCACGTCCATTTATTCTTGTTGGATCTGAATTAGGTGCATTAAATGTTAGATTTTATACTCAACTTTATGAAAGAGATGTTTCAGACATTGTTTTAGTTTATCCATTAGTAGAAAATTTATTTCATCAAGATGATGGAATATGGCATAATTATTGGTATTCAGACTTAATTTCTTCCGTATTAAAGCTTCAGTTGTCTGCTTTTGCTGGAATTTCCAGAATAGGTTTATTATTAGGATTTATGGATGTTCCTATTAAAGGAGAACATATTGTAGAAGATATTATCATCAGACAGAAACATTTCCTGTGTAATCCACATCATTTGGGAGCTGCTTTAGATGAACATTATTTCATGAATTACAGTTTTTCTCAAATGATGACAATATGGAAATTAAAGACATTTCCAGTAAATGTATCAGTGACTGTTATAAATGGAAAATTTTATGATAAAACACTGCAACCTGATTTGAATAAAGCTTGGGAAAAATCTCAGCATCATTTAATTGGAAATCTTCATAATGGATGCAATCATATTTCAATTGCTGATGCTGATCATAATATTACTTTCAAAGAACCCTGGATCATAATAGAATCTGTAAAAAAGCTGATTCTAGGTTGGAGAAGAAAATAATATATTTTGTAAATTTTTTTTAACGTTGGCTCATCTTTCATCTGCCAGGATGAAATCGTGGCAGAACAAATTGCATTGAATTTTTCTATCTTTTCTGCAGAGTTGCATGCTATTTATTTAGCCTTAAAGCATGTAAATAGGAAAGGTCATCGTTGCTGTGTGATTTACACCGACTCTGTTAGTGCACTTCAGGCTTTGATCTCATGTGAACCTAGTTACCACTCTATAGTGACTAAAATTCATAAACTGTTTTGCCAACTTCTTGCAAGGAATTTCTCTATAAAATTTTGTGGGTCCAGACCACGTTGGTATAAGAGGGAATGAAGAAGCTGATGCAGCTGCAAAGGCAGCGAATTTTTCACAACATGCAATGCCTATTGAAGGAAGTGATTTGAAGCTAGTAGTAAAAAAACGACTAGCGGAGAGATGGCAAAACGTGTGGAATGCACAAATCCACAATAAACTACATGAGATCAAACCGATTATAGAAAATTGGACACGTAATGAACCGTATGACAGGAGATCTGAAGTAATTCTTACTCGTTTGAGAATTGGGCATACTCGGTTGACTCACCAATACCTTTTGAAGGGTGAAGACCAGCCAGTATGTGAGTATTGCAACTGCATTCTAAGTGTAAAACACATGCTGTGCAATTGCTCTGCTTTCGAGACAAGGCATAGACAATATTTTGGAAATGCTTGTCTGACAGAAATTTTTGGCCAAAGGTCAAATGTCAATAATTTACTAGACTTTCNCATTTCCAGTAAATGTATCAGTGACTGTTATAAATGGAAAATTTTATGATAAAACACTGCAACCTGATTTGAATAAAGCTTGGGAAAAATCTCAGCATCATTTAATTGGAAATCTTCATAATGGATGCAATCATATTTCAATTGCTGATGCTGATCATAATATTACTTTCAAAGAACCCTGGATTATAATAGACTGTTATAAATGGAAAATTTTATGATAAAACACTGCAACCTGATTTGAATAAAGTAAGTAATATTCAATAGTGATTGTATTTTATAAATAAAATACAAAAATAATGCTTACATATAATTAATAAAAATGCTTGAAAATTTAACTTCAATTGTATAAATTTAAAATTACATGTAAATTTTAATTCTTAGAGGAAAAAGTCACTGTGTGTGTGATATTTTCTAGTTAAATGGATATATAACACAAAATTCATATAGTTGAGTTTATATAATTTTTAAATAATTCTGCATAGTTATATATGTTAGTTCTTTTCAGATCATTTTATTAAAATGAAGAATTTTTTTTCTTTCACATTGAAATGTTCATGAAATAAATTAACACTGAGAACACTGTCTTCAACATTATTCATGTTTAATGACAAAAATAAATGTTTTCGCAAGTACTTTAGACCTTTTCAAAAACATCTTCATCAGGTGAATGGCAAAAGAATATTTTTGAATCTTGTTACTAAATTTTTAACATTGGCTCATTCTAGACGGAACATGATTACAATATTTAAATTTGAATATAATGATGAATTGAATGCCTCATAGATAGCCACCTATGTAGAATCTAGATTTGCACAATTTACCATACAAAAGGGATTAAAGTAGTAGTAGTAGTGGTCTACTTTATATATTACCTTGTTAAGGATTTATACAGCATGACCCATAGCTTTAGAAGCTCCAATGTGGGTTTATTGCAGGGCCATTATTTCTCAGTGATCAAAGCCTCCAGATAAAAATGATCCTGTTGTTCACTGCTANATACTTATATATATTTTGTTTTTATTTATTGTCACTGTTGTATATGTTTGTTATTGTTATTTGTTATTAATTTTCAATATATGTATATATGACCTTTATAATTTTACCATTTGGCATGGTGCAGCATAGCCTATATGGCTTTTGTGCCAAAAAACCTTAACAAACCAACCAACCAACTTGTATACATTTTTGCTTTAGCAAATTATCACATTGGATTTTCAATTAATTCGATTTGTAAGTTTTCATCAACAATTTCAATATTGATAGATAGAGGTGAAGTAAAAAGATGAAATTGTAATTCACAGCTTTTAAAATCAGAAGATCTTCGATCGAATTCAGTTTTTAACAATTTAATTTGATGAGCATATTCTGTAAATTTTAATTTAGGTGATTAAGCAATAGATATTGACAGCTTTCAAAGTGTGAGAAGTTTTTTTTTTCTATTTGTTTTCACTAAAATAATTTCTGTTTTAAAGCGCTATTATTATCAAATAGTGTTGTAACCACATGATTTTTGCCTTGAGCTTAAGATTTAAGTTGATTAAGATGACTTGTAATATTGACTGAAAAAGGCTGGTCCTTTATCCTTGTCTATTTTTTAATTCAGCACATTCATAATTTTTTATTTCCAAGAAAAGTATGATTTTGTCCAGCAATTTGAAGAATCATTTTAACGCTTTATGACTTAAAAACCACCGAACTTCTGTATAATATGGTAGATTGGTATATTCACATTCTATATCTTCCAGAAATGAAGCAAATTGACGATGATTAAGTCCACGCACTCGAATGTAATTTAAAATTTTGATGACAATTTTTGAAACATGTTCGATATTTAAAACTTTGGAGCACAGTACTTGTTGGTGAATAATACAATGAAAATGTTCAAAATTATTATTACCATGCTGTTCACATGTTTGTTTTAATCTTGCAACAACTGATTTAGTGGAATTGGAATGTATGTCTCTTTAATCCGAATAAATGCGACATGGTAGACTTCCTCTCAGCTATAAGGTTAAGTATTCCTTTATTGCAATTCACAAATGCATTTTGGGCATGCGATTCCATTGATAATGACCATCAGGTGTGGAGAAGGCTGTCTTCTCCTTATCACCCACACCAAGTTGCCAAAATTCCGAGATAGTATCCATAGTGGAAAAGTATTTAGTTTTTCCTATTAAACTTAACGATTCCTGTACTAACGGAAGTGGATAAGGATCTACCTTTGTCATCTTATTTAACTTCCTGTAGTTAATCACGAGTCTAAGACTACCGTCACGTTTCTTTACCAATAAAGCCGGGGAACTCCACGGAGACATGGAATGCTCAATTATTATTTTCTAATAATGCCTCTACTATTTCATTTAATTGTTGCCTCTGAGCATAAGGGATTCTATACAGAGGAGAATAGATGGGTGTGGCATCACCGGTATTTATCTCATGCTTAACTATATCACAATAACCTAAGTCATAGTCATCAAGGGCAAAAATATGCCTATATTTATATAATAATGCCAATAATGCTTGTTTTTCCTCTTCGTCTATATTTTCCCAATTAAATAACTGACTAAACTCCTTTTGAGATAAAGTTGCAGTAGCTCCCTCCTTTAGGGTTTCTACGGGCCTAGTTTCCTCTAATGCCTTCCAGAAAGTACCCACAGGTACCTCTTTCTAACCTAATTATATTGGGTAGTATTCTGAAGTCTAATGGGAACTTGTCCCTTTTTATTTGGGGTAACTAGTAAATGTGCTTCAGAAACACCTTCTATCTGTAGAGGATGTGATTCAATAACTCCTATTTCTTTACGGCTTTTCATTCCCTTTATTGTCGTGGTAACTATGTTATCTGACCGAGGAGGAAGTTTACAAGTCTCTATTAGAATTACTTCATTTCGTTCTTCTTCATTTTCTACTGTGGGTTTTTGTTTTTAAAAGGGTTCTGCTGACTGCTTAATTTTAGACTTTCATCTTTTTCTGGGGTTGTAAGTTGCGGTCGACCTGTCTTCTTCTTCGGCGACAAAGAACCCGTATCGTTATATTGTCGCACGATCTTCGAAATAACTCGAGTAGATATTTTTAAAAATTGGGATATTTCTTCTAATTTTTTCCCTTCATTTCTATGTTTAATGATAAGCTCTCTTATGTCTTTTGATAATGGTTTAGCCATTTTGTTTCAGCAGAGATTCCAGTATTGCTGCAGTATTTATATCATTTCAGTCCCTAAGTTCATGCCCATTTTTATGATGTTGCGACCGTTAGACTGATGACGTAGACTGTCGGCTTTTCCGGGTTGGTCGGAGCTCTCGCGTGATTTACAGAAGTCACACCTACTTTTTCTGATGCTAGCCAATTAGGAATATTAATTTTTCTAACCAATCAGATGATAGTGGGAGGTTTAAATTAGATTTGTCGATACATGGTTCTCTAAAATTTCATATTTAGTTTAATTTTCTCTCTTTTATTGTAATTTCTCGAGAAATAAAGGATATATAAAGTAATTTGTTATAAGATGTTAGCCACACTGTGTTCTACTTGATTGGACTTTCTTGTTGGCCACACCCTGCATTAAGCTTATTTTCCGTGAATCGTTACCGAACTATATCAGAATAGCAAATCAGAAAAAAACAAATATATCTAAGCGATCAATCTGCCAACAATGCAGTTAAATCTAAAATAAAATTTATAATAACTTCTATAACGTTTAATTATTTTATGACTCTATTAACAAATAGTTAGGAAAGGGAAAATAGTAAAACACTAAGCAGTTGTTGTCTTTAACGGTGGGGTGTCGGTGACAGCTTACTTGAAACTTTGTTTTGCAAAAGTAATACATTTTCACTGACATTCTGACACCCCTCTGGTAAAAATAACAAGTGGGAAGCAGTTGTTTAAATAGTAATAAAACACTTTATTATAGAAATGAATTGACTTCTGCTCTACTCACATTACTGCAAAAGCAATAAACATTTAACACTGGAATTTGAAACACATACTATTCTTCTCAGATTACAATGAAACCGAGGACAATCTGATGGCAAGTGAAACCTGATATGTTTATTTTTTGCATTTTTCGTATAAAATTATGTAAAAATAAATACTAAAAAATCAATTTTGTCAATATACAAGTAATTTATATCACTATATAGAGAATAAAGTGCAGAATTAAACAAAAAACGGTAGTTTCTTTATGCGATAGATAAAATTGAATTATTTCATATTAAAAACACTGGGTTTGAAAAAACCATGCGACTCAAGTAAGGGAACCATTCCTAGCGACTCACGCACGGTTAAAGCTGTAGTTTATCGTATTTAATTACAGGAAAATAAACGTAAATATAACGTTATAAATAAAGGAAAGTATGAAAATTAAAGAAATAATTAGAATTTATGATAATCAGTGGCCACAATTTTAAAATAAAAATGGCTGACGCTACACAGGCAACAGAAGCGATCATCGATTAGTATTGTTGACCTACAGCAGACATTTAAGGCGGAAATAAGCCCCTCTGAATCATTTTCCTAATCGTTATTATGGCCCAAACCAGACAGGTCCATCTCAAAACGCTTTGTTAACGAATAAAAGGATCTGACACTGTAAGTGATAAGCTGACTGCACACCTGAGTAAGCTTAAGACCAAGAATGAACTTTTTCTTTTAGCTGTACATCCATTATGTCATTGTAGCCACCTTACTGGCGTACATGGCTGAATAGTGCCTCTACGTCATCACTTGAAAAGTTTCTGGAAAGAACATAATGGAAACCTTCCTGGGAAACCTTCCTGAAGAAGGTGGCGCACACAGAGGACAGTGGACATCGTTGGAGTCTTTCTCCAAGTGAGGATTGAATTTGTTCAATGTAGTGAAGAAAATCGTTTTGGAGCCACTGCAGTCTTTCATCACCTAAGGACTAAAAAGGACACTTGTTTTGATTTCTAGAATAAATGTAGTGAGTTTGATTACAACTATCATGAAGTTCAAACCACTTCCTCATTATCTTTATGAAGTTAGTCGTATCATGTAATCCTGCTTTATGATTCACTTTCTCAGGAGAAATATCAACCCTTGTTTCCAGGGCGGCAACCAATTCAATTGAAAAAATTTGAACTGCTCGTAAAACATTTATTTTTTCAAAGTTAGTTGGAAATAAATGTTTCCTGGTTAAGAATCGAACAGGTTTAATTAGTCCTGGTAATGTGTTTTGGTAGTCATACAAACGTTTCAG